CACACACACACACACACACAGTGAAAAAACATTTTTGCAGTTTAACATTTATGTTTTTTTTATGTTTATTAAGCTGTTTTTCTCATAGGGACCATTGGCTCACAATGTACACGATTTCAGATTTTACTGTCCTTTTGGGGACACTTTGGTCGTCATGATGTTAGCAAAAACCGACCCCTCCACACACACACTTCCTTTCATAGTCTTTGTTTATTAATATATTTGTTTATTTATGCAGTCAAGAATAATCGCTTACAGACAATAATATGTGTTTGCTGAAGGAAGAGCAATAGGAAAATATAAAAAAGAGACGTCACACAATATACAGACATATTTAAATAGCAGACTTTTTGTGGTTTAATATTCACAGACACTTGTCCACATCACAATGTGATTAAGTGCACAGCCCTACCATTTGATTTATTCATCCAAATTTTGCCAAATTCTGTGACTTTCCGTGTTATACAGTAAATTAAATTTTCATGACTGGAATCTGTAAAATCAACAATCCCACAATCATTCTCTCCATTTATGAACGAGATGGCACTGATTGTGAAAGCGTAGATTTCCCCCCTTTTCAATCTTTCAGCCTCCTTTGATATGCCCAATTAAAATGTAATCTGAGGCAGACATGAGCGAAAACTGATTATAGTTAATTTGCTGATTTTGTCTAAAAACCACCACAATGAAGACAGAGCTGTGTCTGTATCTAGAGAATTATGTGATTGTGTGTGCATGTGTATCAGTATACAGTATATATTTAGCGTTAAGGTCAATCTCATTTTGGATTTTAAAGTAGGCAGGCACTGTCTCACTGCACCAGTATTTATTATTAATAAAGAGGGGGGCGGAGGAAGATGAGAGGTGTATAAGAATATCCTCTCTCGCTCCTTTCTCTGTGCACTCTATTTCAGCATGATAACTGCCCACCTGAGGGAAATGGAGTGCTCTGGAATTTATTTTTTTCATTCATGCTTTCCTGTTTTTTTCAGACTCTACACTTCAAAACCTCAATGAAACATACAGCCATAAGAAAGCCCCTAGGTGAAATGCCCCTGTCTCATGTCAAGGTGGTTAAAATTAATGCAGAGTACAGAATATGTCTGTGTAATATAAGGTTTGAATATGAAAGAAAGAATGGAATTGATTACTTTTTGAGCTTTAGTTCCTCTGGGAATGGAAATGATTCATTCACGCTGAGCCAATATTACTTTTTTTTTATTATTGGGCTTATAGTCTAATTTAATTAAATATATTATTTATTTGCTGGATTGGTACTGGAATGATATTACCTGGCATAATCAATGTTTTCTATATATTCCATCATAATTTTAAGAAATTTCTGAGCAGGTTGAATACCTGACGGTTAGAGTGAAGTAACTTTTTTTTTTTTACCTGTCTATTCTCATAACCAATCATCATGTTTATTTCTCTTTCTTCTTTATGTACATGTTTTAGTTCAGTGTGCAGAAATGCACAGAATCCATCCAGCCTCAAGCATCTTTGACGTTTCCTCAAATCTACCGCCCCAAACCTTCTGTCACTTCTCAAGAGGTAGTAAACTACAAAGAACATGGAGCTGCCAATGACACGTCTGCTGCTGAGCTCGACACCTGTAACCAGGCAACCGAACGTGAGGAGGTCTTCTCCCTCCCACAGCAAGGTAAGGAAATGACAGCTAAAATCTAATGGAACTTAATGGGGGAGGCTGTGTGTGCGTATGTGTTTGTGTGACCGGTTTTCCTGTGCATTCCAGACAGAAGGAGAGACCAGATAATTTCAGCCAGTCTGAATTCAGGAAGTTCTGAGTTGACTATTTATGGGGCTGAAAATTTCTAATTGTGAACTATTAGTCATCTCACCCCTTAAGGGATTAGATGCAAACTGGAATTTCAGCCATTAAACACCATTAACATGTTAGACACTAGTGTCATTTGCTGATGCTGTTAAAATCTGTGCAGATGTGCCACAGAGGCAGTTGTTAACCTCTCACATTAAAGTAGTGAAACCTGCTACTATAATCATGACTGTTGGTTGACATACATTGATCTGACTCACAGTTTCTATCATGTCACGTAAAGGTTACATACAATATAATAATTCATGATCAAGACTTGGAACCTTGAGACCTTTTTTGAAAAATTTAACAGCATGTGTACTGTTTTTCTAAATGTTGTGCTGCGTTGGCATTCCAACAGCATGATATCACGTATGATTGCTTGCATAGGAACATTTTAGATGCATTATTGTTGCTTATATTGTCTATTTTTGAGGCTGTGTGTCTTCAAATAGCACTCATTAATTAATTAATCCTAAATGAATCAATGTTATTGCTTGATTCAGTTATGTCAATGATTCCATGACTCACTTTAAAAAGATAGTTACTTGTCGCCACCTACTGGCTTATCGATGTAAGTTGCAGAAAAAGTCACTAAACAATCCTCACCACTAATGCATACAAACAGTGAAAAGTCCTAGGAGGACCAGAACTAACTATAGTCTGTAATGCTTTTCTGGTTTAAGGAATCCAAAGGATTTTAATGAGAAACTGTGCCCCTAAAATAGTCCTTATTTACTCAGAGTTGAAACTTACTTATATTAATTTACTTCATATTAGCTTCCATAGATGAAACGCCCTGTACATCTGAGCAAACCGGTGCCATGACGACAAGTAGCTTCATCCTATATCCCAAACTGCACTTCTCCATCAGCCTGCACAAAGAAAATGGAAAGCTACACATCAGCATTGTAGAAGGTAATAAACATTAATCTACTCTGATGTTTCTAGAAAGATAGTGGGGCACCTGTGGATTGCAGGTGATACTCAGACTACACTGTGTAGCATCCCTTTGGTGATAATTTACCAACAGGTGTTTCAAAGGATACCTACAATAAGTGTCAGCATCCTGGATTCCTGTGGAAATGCTGTCATGTTGTAAGAAGACTAATTTAGCAACACTTCACTCAGACACTGTCTGAAATCACAAATTCACATTTTCATCTTTTCAGCTTCAGAAAGGTGATTACACACATAAACACAAAAAATACACAAAATTCTGAAGAAACATTTGCCATTCACTGTGTTACAAGTCAGAAAGCATTCCACAGGAATCACTGTACCAACAGGATCATTTTCAAAATAAATAAAAATACACAGTTGTTTTAAAAAATAAAAATCTTTGAGTTAAACGTAGAGCTAAGTTTTAGCTGAAGTACTAAAA